AACATGACGAGCATCTTTATTATCCTGACATTACCAATACAACAGAGTAAGTGATTCCAAGTTCTAGACAAGAAAATGATTTAATTTTACATCAGTTTCCTATAAGCTGAAAAGGCATAACGTAATAACGAAGAAGGTAACAGGCTTTCCATTTAAGAACACAACAAGAAACGGTGAGAGCCATTACAACGATAGAACACAAACTTCTCTTGACTCATTAGATAACAACCTACAGTCAACAGAACCTGAAGGAGCAAACAGATGAGAGGGAATTTAGGGACCTGATACAGAACAACAATCGTAGGCTTGGCACAACCATAGAGAAACTTGATATCCAAAACTTGAAGCTCCTCGAGCCTGAAAATTAGAGCCCACAAAAATTTATTGAACACGTGAGCTAGAGGGAAGGGGAAGGAATTAAGAATCAAATACAAAAACAGATTTCAGATTTCTGGTCACGGGAAAGCTCTGCCAACTTCCATATTAAAATGCCAGCTGAAGTGCTACAACTAACATGACGATGTCAATTTTTGTGAATCCAACTCAGTACCACATAAATATGTCTGAGGGTTAACTTTTTCGTGCAAACTTACATGTTGAAATTGATTTGTTATAGACAAAACCATGTACCTTATGTTGAAAGCTTCTTTCAGCTGGCCTTTGTTGTCAAAAGGAATAACCTGACACAGGAATCATGATCGTGACGCATAAGAACAATGAAAAACCTAAAAGTATGAAATGAAAAAACACAATGTGGAATAAAGAAAACTCTTGACACAAAAAATCTGAAGGCGGTCTAATAAAATTGCAATTAAACAAGTATATACCTTAAACAGTCCGTCATATAAATGTAGGCCGATTAACCGACAATCAGGATCAATTATTCCAATCTGCAGGCAGAGGAAGGAGAGAAATAAGACCAGTAAGATAAACGCTGCTAAATATTACAATTGACAATGCCAAGTTCTTTAAGACATGGATGTCTGGGATCTGTATTAATAAATGAAGCAATCATGTATTTCTTGCTCCAACGACCAAGATGCTGCTGTAGGCTACATCCCCAAGAAAATTGCATGCACTCACATGATGACATTGTTAAATAAACAAGCTTCTTCCCAGTGCAAGGGCTTGAGGATGTAATTGTTACCTGAGCATTGTCTGTTGGACGGCCTATTCGATCAGACACATCCCCCATTGCTCTACAAAATAGAACAAGACAACTGATGTAAGAAAGAATACACAGAATGTTTGGAATACTGAAGCTTCATCAGAAGCTGAAGAGCAAGTCAAACATCACACGAATAGGTATGAGTGCTTTTATGTCTAACCTTGTAATTAGCTCTGATGCTTCCACATCCCACTGAAGAACGCAGAATTTGTATCTTTCTGTGGCAATGAACAGAAAGTCCTGCGCTTCACCCTGTTGATTGTGCAAACGTAAAATGAATGAGAAAAAGCAATAAACCGCGGAATTACTCTGATAAGACCTCTGGGATGTATAGCTCAAGATACTCACATGAGGACGGAAAAGCTCAAGAGTGGCAATTCTTCCATAAATAGGGACATCCAGCATAGGCTGCAAGGGTGACGTGAAACTCGATAAATTTACTCAAACATGATTGATCACACACCAGCACTACCAGAACAGGGAAATTACCTGCAATCCCTGCGGAGTAAGGAGATGGATTTCGATACGCGTACATTTCCTGAAAACCAGCATCAAATTTCATAAGACAACAACTCATGCACAAGAGTCCAGCACAAGAAAATTTCAGAAACCTTGCTAATGTCTTTCCATCAATTAGAATATCAACACCGAACTAGAAGTAAACCCCAAAAAAGGCATCAAATTTACACCAAGCACATTCATTTGACTTCTCAACATAAAAATCCAAAGCACATGTAAGCTGCAAAATACTTTTCTTTCAGATGATTGACCATCAAAGAAGCCCCTATTTTCCAAGGCACGTGAGGAGCTCACACCAAGTACAGTGCACTAAAGCATATCACTTTCCAAGTATCAAATTAAAGCCACTGGAGCGAACAGAAAAAAACGGGTGTCGAAACAAGAACCCTAAACAAACCCCTCTCAATCGGGCCAAAAGGGCAGAAGACAACCGAGGTATCTACAAGAGAAGGGAAAACGAATACGAATAAGGAGTGAGGAACGGAAGTTACGCTGTAATGAGATTGAGCTCCTGTGGGCTGGTGAAATTGCCGACACAGGAGTGGGTGACATTGGTGGGCTTGTGAGCCGTCACCACGTAGTTCCATACGCTCATCTTTTCCCGGCAGCTTGAGAGATCCTTCTCGCCTCCGAAGCCCTACAGCCTGGCTCGATTGTTCTCTCTTTCCCTCTCGGCGCCGCTCGGCCGGTGCGGTTCTGAAGGTTTGCTCTTTCTACCTTCTGGGCTTTTCTATCAAGTGGGGGACGACGAGTGAGCTGCTAGAAAGGGACGAATGGAGGAAGGCGAGTATGCAGACGCGCCCGTCCTTGAAACGGCGCTAAAGCTAGAACTAGAAGTGTGTTTGTATCGAGATGGGTAGTTGTAAGCTACTTCCGTTATTATGTGGACCCCAGTGGAATCGATTGATGTTTTGGTCCATCGTACGCAAATGCAAGCTCCACGTCGTCATCTGTTTAATATGGAGGAATGAACGGTCAGATAAACATCACTCGTTTCGTTCCCTAAATAAGTAAAGTAAAATTTTCATCAATGTAACTATCAAAATACAACTATAAATTTCACCCAAAAAATCGTTAATGATCTTTGAAGATATTAGCACACACAAGCAATCATGTTGTCAAAGACGTGAAAGATGAGTTGGACAGCAAAGCATTAAATCGTAAATTTTTGCACATCGTGTAAAATTGTTAGAACATGCACTCTTTAAAAATAACATTATAGACTTCCAATAACTATCTTTGTCTTATAGTTTAAGATCACTGGTCATAAACACAAAATAATTTGACAAGCTCGCAAGTATAATCAAATAGTAGATAAATGGAGTATCTTTTGCAGTTTTCTTGTACAACCAAAAAGAACTTAGAAGTAGAAAAAAATTCGAAAATCAATTTTCCATAAATGGGAATGCACGATCTTTAGAACAAAGTGAAGAACATATCGATTACCAACATTCATCATTTGAACCATGAGAATAAAACTTACACTATTAGTTCTTGAAACAATTCGCACCACTCTTTTACTATCTAGGTCTAGCTCATTTTTGTATATAAAAAATGCATATCACTTCCTCGGTAAGTTGGCCATCGAGGCTTGACCAGACACCATAGATAAATTGCCCATCAATGCTTGAAGGATGATTACCTTGATCAAAATTGAAGGAGGCCAAAATACGACGAGAAAACCTTCACAGGGCATTTTCATGGGTATCGGGCATCGTTCCATCGCATTATTGGGGGTGTGTTGGAGGTTGACTCAACATTTACAAGAAGAGTTGATGTTGTTAGTAACAGTTTTGTATCACCTAGAGTGAAGTTCACGACTGCTTTATATATGCTAGTTTCGGAGTCCACAATTGATTCTCTCGATGAATACTTTCATATTGGTGAGACTAACGCGTTGGTGAATTTGTGTAAATTAAACAATGCAATCGTCCATGTTCATGGACCCATATACCTTCGCGAACCAACAGATGAAGATTTGGATGAACTCCTAAAGAAAGCCGCTCAATGTTGATTTTTCGGATAACGGGGTCAATCGAATGCATGCATTGTGGTAGAGGAACTATCCTACTGCTTGTGCATGCAAATATATTGGCCACATCCATTGACAAATGGTGGTCTTTGAAGCGGTTCTAGGCTGTACAACACTAGGATATGGCATGCCTACTTTATGACTACATGTTCTATGAATGATGTCAACATTCTTAATCAATCCCCAGTATTGGATCATATTGTGAATGGTTCAACACTACAACTAATGTTTAAGGTAAATCACAAATGATATAATACATCTTATTATATAGTAGATGTTATCTATCTTTCATTGTCCAATATGGTAAAGACAATTGTAAATTTGATTGACGCGTACTAATCTTTATCTTTCTAAAGAAGGATACAATAAAGACACAGAGACGAATATAATGTTAACTTGCATTATGTTACATAATATGATAGTTGAGGATGAACAACATAGTGAGTTTCATGAGAAGTGTGGCGATATTGATTATGAATGTGTCAAGACAAACTTGAATCGAAACAAACCAACATTGCAACAATATTGTTGCTAATAACTCGAAGTCTAATTATATGTGATCGACTACAAGTAGCACGGTCTCACTGGAGAATATGCTATACATACATGTGTGTTCTTTTCCTTTCTATGTTGGATTAGGGTTAAGACGTAGGGAGAAGGTGCCATATATACCTTCTCAACCCCTCTCTAATATGTATTATCCTCAAGTATAGTGAAACTTGTCTCTTTTGCCCATGGATTAATGAGTCGTGTTAGTGAACCACGTATACATTATTGATCTATCGTTCCGTTTTAACAAATACATGAATCAATTCATGACGGTGGTGAACATAAAAGGGTGAAGAAATGTTCATTTGAGCGTCTTTGGACAGAAGCCGAATGTGAGTAGTTTTCATGTATGTTTGAGTGTGTTTAATTGAGTGCTCCCAAATTTGAGTGTGTTTAAATGCATTTTACTTATGTTCGATTGAGTTCAACTAACCCATCCCAAGCACCATTCCTCAATTTGTCAAGGCTCGTGAGTCGACTCGACTCTTCCCTCATCGAGTAAACCACACAATTCACATCACTCATTGCTCTCCAGATCGAGCGACACTCGATCGAACTAACTCTCTCGGTTAACGATACCATTACATGTAATCCCACAGGCAATGTGGACGCTTTCCTCGATCGGATGGGAGAAAACAAGCATTACCATCATGTACAACTACCCGAGAATTCATATGGGCGAACAAAAATTAATGGAATTGGTACACAATGTTAACAATTGACATGTTCTTTTTACAGAGCACCAATGTTCTTGAGGCCGAGAACAACTCCAACACCAATAATGTGGCCGACGGTACCGCAAGCCAAGGTGTCGGCGAGTGTGAACCTAGCTGGATCCCCCGTTTGCAGCCCGGAGTCCCTCACCTCCAGCTTCAGCCCTGCCGTCGCCTTCCTGTTGGTCGACGGTGCCAGCCCAAATCTCCCAGCGAACAACATCATAGCAGCGACCATTGTTTTTGGCTCTACAATTGGTTAAGCTTTGATCTGTGATTGCCCGGTGGAGTTTCTTCAAGTGGGTGGGTGGGAATTTTGTTGCGAATATAAATGAGAGATGGGATTTTGCGGAAGGGTTAGCCACTTGAGCAGCTTTTGGCGTGTAGGATGCCAGTAATGGATACACTTGAGATCCATGTTTGCCGGGTTGGCAGATTTCTATAGGGTTTACTCTCTTTAGGATAAGGGTCATTGTCTCGGCGCTCCAATCCAATAAGACTGCTTCAGCCCAGAAGGCAGAGGTGGTTTCATGCACTTCATTTCATCACCATCTCTTTCTATGTATGGCTTTTATTTTTAATAATCACAACGCAATCATTCAAGTAAATGCTTGGGTTAATTGCATGGTTGGTCACCGATATTACAAAAAACGTTGAAGTTTGGTCACTCGAAATATTTAAATCGATTGGTGGTACTTCAGTAGTTCAGTTTACTAAAACCGTTCACGTTTGGTCACTCTCCATCCAACTTCGTCAACTTTTGCTTACATGGCGGTCAACTCTAAAAGTTGACCGTTAAATGTGTGATGTGACAATTTAAAAATAATAAAATTAAATTTTTTTAAATTGCCACCTTAGTATCACTTTTATTTAAAATAAATAAAAAAGCCGATATCACTTTTGTTAGAGGCGGCCGTTTCTTCTCTCTCTCTCTCTCACCTTTTTTTCTCTGCCTTCTCTCTAGAGGCTTTCCCTTCCAGACGAGTATGGGGGCTTCTGTCGACGTCTCTCCAGCGACCGGCTCCAGCCCTCCGTCCCTCCTATCTCCGTTTGTTGTCTTGCTTCCTTTCCTTCTTTCTTGTGTTCTTGATTTCTCTACTTTATGCTTGTTTCCAGCCCTTGTTTTGGGTGTTTGTGCTCTCTTTGTTGGTTCTCTTCCTCCCCTCCATTGGGTTGAGTTTTTTGCCCTCTGATCTGTGTGATCCAGATCTGGAGATGATGTCGATTCTAAGAAGCTATGGAGGCCTGATCTGTTCTAGATCTGACTTGTCTTCTCCTCCCCTCTCTCCGGAGATGTAGCTCATGGCGCCAGACTCAGAGTGGAGAGCTTGAAGACAGAAGTCTTTTCCCTCTGGAGCTTTCACCGCCGACCGGTCGTCCGATGTGGTCCTTTGTGTCGTTTTAAAGGAGGCGGAGACGACTGGATTGGAGTTGGATGGTGGGAGAATCCTCTTCGGGTTTGGTGGAAGCGGTTCCGTGGTCTGGCGCATGGCGGCGGCGACTTGTGCAGGCGACGTCGCTGGGTGTCTTTTCGCGGAGGTTGTTTTCAGCCGCGGCGGTGGATGTTGCTGAAGGAGGTAGATGCACAACTAGGATTAGGAGAGATACACATATTTGGGTCCGGGTCTGGGCCCTATTGGGTGTCGGCCTACTTGTATCTCTTGACCTTTTTGTTTGGTTTTTTATTTATCTATGTATTTTTGCTTGTACTTTTCCATCTGGGCTTGGCCCATTCGCTTTCTTAATAAACAACCCCTTTCAAAAAAAATTCTAATACCCAATACCAATACCCCCACCGGCAACATACCCCGTCGTCGCTGTTGCTTCCATTGTTGGGCTTCCTTCTCATAGGATTACATATTGTTGGGCTCCAATATGTAATCCTGTTTCATTCGATTTTCAGAAACAAAAATTGAATGATCAACAGTCCTTATCTTTATCGATTTGAATACCAATAACATACATAATTGGATGATGGGGGCAGTGGCGGAGCTGTGTGGGGAGGTGGGGTGCTTGCACCCCCTTTGCTTGGTAAAAATTTCAGCAATTAGGGATTTTTGTGGACTCAAACTAGTAATCATTTGATTATCGGAAGACTTCCTTGCCATCTCGGCCAATTAAATTTGTTATGCAACTTGCTTTCGTTATTAATTATATTAGACAACTGTCCTGAAGTGAACCGAAAGCCAAGAGTGTGAATCGAAAAAAAGAGAACTGTCTTGAAACCTCCTTTTACGTCCCACAATCTCTAGGACCATAGTTTCTTATTTCTTATGCTTTGCCACTACCACTGATATCCACAACAGAGAGGACGAGTCGACATCCTCTACCTCATCCAAGCCCCTTAGTCTCCAATTTTGGCCAGTAGTTCACCGGATTTCCGCATCATCCAAGCCACGTCGTCCCCAATCCGGACAATTACAAGTGTTGAGATATCGTCTCCGTCAATGAAATATATCAAACATTGTTTTCTAAGCCAGATGAATGATTAGTGGTTGAACGACACGTTGATGACATATATTGAACAAGATCTGTGTGCTAGTTTGGACAAAAAATGAGTTCTAGAATGCTTTAAAGTATGAAATATCTTCGCAATTCGGTGTAAACGGTGTACGTCAAACTATTATTCTGTAATTGTATGAATTTTAAGTATTGTGTTGTTGACTTGTTATTTCATTTCGAGTTCAAGTTGTTTATTATATAGTTAATTTTTTATGATATGAAAAAGACACCCTCTTGACCAATTTTCTGGCTCCGCAACGTGATTTGAGGGGGGGGGGGGAATGAATGAAAGAATGAAGACGGAAGGTTGGTGACTTATAGAGGGGAGCTGAGAAGAAGCGGATGGATGAGTGGTGAGTATGGCAGACAGCGTAGCGACGAAGAGAAGGGTGAACATGGCGGACAGAAAGATCCGGTAGGAGAAGAAACTTCGGAGGTCGGCATTGACACCGCTGGATCCAAGTCTATCTCCTCGGCCACCTCGAACGGCGACCACAGTCGGAATCCCGACTTACGGCGTAGAGAATTGTATTTGTTCTGCTTCAAATGGCGCAAATATGGAATTGGGATATTGAAGAAGTTTTGAGGAGTGGAGGGCGAGATGAAAGAGATAGAGAGAAAGCTAAGAAGAGCGATGATGGAGTCGGATGAGTGTCTCGAGATCTAGGGAGAGTGGATCCATTCCCATTTCCGCGTCCATTGTTGGGCTTCCCCCCAGCCATTGTCTCGCTTTCTCCCAAGAGAAAAGGATTTGCTGGAAGGGGAAGGAATGGTGACGGAGAGGAGCGAGGAGATTGTTGGGTATGCTGTTGGCGGGGGTATTGGTATTGGGTATTAGAAGAAATTAGGTTTTTTTATTTATTTAAAATAAAAGTGATAATAAGGTGGAAATGAGATGATAATTTTAAAAAAATTAATTTCATTATTTTTAAATTGCCACGTCACACATTTAACGACCAACTTTTAGAGTTGACCGTCACGTAAGCAAAAGTTAACGGAGTTGGACGGAGAGTGACTAAACGTAAACGGTTTCAGTAAACTGAAGTACCACCAATGGATTTAAATATTTCGAGTGACCAAACTTGAACGTTTTTTGTAATCTCAATGACCAACCATGTAATTAACCCTAAATGCATTATCGTATTATTTATTTTTATAATTTAATTAATTTTTATTAAATAAGTAATATGATAAATCATATACACAAAGTCACAAAGTAAGTGGAATCATGAGCTAGACAAATAAATTTATTTTTTTAATTTTCACTTCATGTAGTTAATGGTCAAACTTTATAGTTTACTGCCACGTATAACAAATTTAATGGAGTGTAACGGCCTGTGACTAACGGTGAAATGATTCATAGAGTTAGTGGTGAATAAATAAAAAAGTAATTATGTGGCAAATGAATTGTGAAGCAAATAAATAGTCCCACCGCAGAGGTGGACTTTTTGCTTTTTTCTAGAGTATGATATGTTAACTGGTGGAGAGACAAAACGACTTGTGGATTTGGTCTCTCAAACAGAAGATTACACATTCCAAATCCTAACCTGGACTCCAAGATAGGAATCATTCCTTTTGGCCACCCCAGTTCACTTTACAGAAAACATTCAGACAGGGCTGTGAAACAAGAGACACAGATTAATCTAATAACATTCTGAGTTCCTAATCCTTCTCCTTCGATAAACTCCAATAACTTAGCTCCAAAACCAAATCACGGTCAGCTTCCCCAGTACAGAAGCAGCACAATCCCAGCAAACTTCCACCATATACCCAGTTCTCGTCTCAACAGAGCATTCGCTCCAGAACCAACAGACCTACTCCACACGAAAATGCAGGGGAAAACACCATAAGTGGCATATACACGTTAAAAGCTTAAATCAGAGCTCAACAAAACAAACAGGGCAAATCATAAAACACATACCCAGCTGAAGCATACGAGCATTTCCCATAACCTGCATTTGATGAAAAATGCAACACTCAGCCAAGAATAAGAACATTCTGATTGATCAATAAGAAAAAAAAAGTTGGCATTTTTACTTGGGTCGTGTTTGGTGAGGGAGGCGGTGCCGCCGAAGTTGCAGGCGATGTCGGAGTTGCCATTCTGTTGGTAATAGCTGTTGAATGCGAAGGATGCGTGGGAGAGAAGATTGTTAGGCTCAAAGCAAGGTCCTTCTTTCTGAATCTCCTTGCATTCCGCCATTCCCAGCCCGCAAGCCCAGTCCAGCGCGTTCTGCAGATCGATTTGCGATGCCCCTGCTGACGCCACGCACCATGTCGTCCCGTCGAGAAACGTCGTGTTTCCTTCCGGCGGTGAGTACTGCGCCGTCGTCACTGGGTTCACCGCCTCCACCCTCTCCGCTGTCTCCACCGCCGTGGCTAATTGAACCGGTGGTGTTGAAGGAGAAACAGAGCATGTTAAAAACAGAGTATTGAGGAAACAGAGGAGAAACCGAAGACCCAGATTGAATGAGGAGAAAATAATCATTACCCAGATGGAAATGCCCGAGAAAGAAGACACATTGCAAGTAGACAAGCAGAGGGAACACCTTGTTCCTCACCATCGTCATTTTTGAGCGAACCTTCCTTCCTATTCTGAAGCTTTTACTCTCTCTTTCTCTGCCTCTGGTGTATCTTCTCTCTTCTCCTCTGTTTTCTGTGCTTTTTCTTTGCTTTTCCTGTTTAGGTTTTGGGGATTTCTTAAGCTGACGAATGGGTTGGCGATTATTATTATCTGTCTAAAACTGAAACTGTAATGATGAAGGGAGCTAATGACGTACGAGGGATTCTGACTGTGCTTTGCTGTGGGTGTTTAATGATACAGTCACTAGCTAGCTTCTCTGCCTTCTGTCTGCCACTGTTCAAGGAATCAGCAATTTCTTCATCAGAAATTTATCTTCTTTCTTTACTTTTTTCTTCTGAGCTTTGTACTAAAAGGAGTCCGGCGTCTTGCATCGAAATAACTTTTCTCTTCACCAGCGCCTAGCTATGCGTGCTCTCATCGGTCATCAGTCATGGCTTTGCTTTCCCTTTTGCTACCGCTTGGGCTGTCACCTCAAAACTGTTCAACGAAAGATTAATGATTTTCTTATAATAATAATAAGTGTATTGTATGTACTAATATGTATATTCCTAACTTAATATGCAATTTATTCTAAAGATAGCATAATCTTGATTGATAATGATGTGATTAGTACTACAGTTCAAGGAGGGAGACAAATTGGACAAAAAAAATATACTAGAAACTTATTCATGCTAACTCAACTCAATCTCTCTTAATTTTTTTATTAATCGGATTGCTTTCATTTCATCAAAAGTAGTACTAGCAACACCCTTGCTAGTTAGGGATTAGCAGAACCAAAACCCCCACCTGTATACTACGAAACACAAAAGGAATCATATATATTTCTACCAAAAAGTCCTATAACTTCCTCCTGTACAACCTTGCACAATACGTCACAGTCCCTAGTCCCTACACTGACCCGAATGAACTCTGCTGCACCTTTCTTGCCACACCACGCTCACCAAGCTTTGCCACATAGCTCGTCCCACTTGAGACTTTACTGTTTGAGACCCAAGAACCTGTTGTAACCAAGCCAGCTCGTTATCCAGAGAGGTAAACACCCCTGAAACCATGCCAAACAGCTTGCAAATCATTTTCCTATTCATCAAACATTCTGCAAACATATAATCCAAAGTTTCCAACGGACAATTACGAAACACATAGCCCAGACTACCATCAAATCCCCATTTCAGCATCTTCTCTTTTGTAGTAACCGCTCTATTCAAGATTAACCAAGCAATGAACCTGTTCCGAGGGATGGAGCTTCCCTTCCATAAAAGATTAGACCAAGCTACTTGCTGCCTTTTTTGCCTTAACGTCTCCCAGACTCTCCTAATTGGAAAGGTCTCCATTCTTTCTTGATCCCAGTAAACATCTTGCCCTGCTGATGGAAGAATGCACAGACCTTTAGCCTCGTTTTCAGAATCCGTTTCCAGTTCCATGAACCAGAACAACCCCCATAAAGCCAAAAATCTTGGTCTTTCAGTTTATAAACATTGATCCATGCAACCCACAAAGAACTATGTTGTAATAACAGAAGCCAGATATGTCGAGTAACACAAGCAATGTTCCAAGTTTCTAAGTCCCTCAACCCCAGCCCCCTCCTTATTGGGGTAAGTGAGATGCTTCCAGCCTATCTTTGCTTTCATTCTGCCACTTTGACCAACACTAGGGATGGCAAAAATATCCATAACCGTGGATATCCGTCCGAATCCGGCCTAGTCGGGTAGGGTAAAACCCGAACCCGAAGGACATTTAGTGGGTACGGGTAAAACCGGAACCCGAATATTACGGGTAATGGGTGGGCATGGATTTCTCACTATCCGACCCGAACCCGCCCGATTATACACATGCATATGTATTTTGTCTAGAAATAATCATTATTTTTCTCTAACATATTTTATATTTAGCATATAAATATAACATTTTCATGAAATTGTGTTGTTTTAGTTAATTTTCTTCATTCTAGTGAATTCTTGTCGTACTTTTTCTCTTACTTAATATAAGAATACGTGTGAATGTTAACATATTGGTTGGAGTTATGAAGAGAAATTAATATCCATGGATAACCGTGGATACCCGAAACCCGAACGGGTATGGGCATGGTTTTGATTTTCTACCCGTTTCACATGTGGGTATGGGTATGGGTAAAACCCGAAGTACTTTGGGTAGGGTAACGGATATGCACTATCCGCCCCCTACCCGACCCATTGCCATCCCTAACCAACACCCCACAAGAAGTTACTACAAATGCCTTCCACTTCATAGATCACTGCCTTTGGAAGAATAAAGACAACCATCCAAAACTGGTGCAAGTTGTATAGTACTGAACTATCAACCTCCACCCTACCAGCATATGATAGGAAACGAGACTTCCAGCTACTAATCCGAGCAACAATCTTATCAATTAGGGGCTTACATGCTGAAACAGAGAGCTTCCCCGAGGAGAGAGGAACCCCCAAATACCTTACAGGAAACTTTCCCAAGGCAAACCCATACCTATCAGCCCTCACTTTCTGTTCAGGACCAGGCAACCCCCCAAAGAAAAGTTCACATTTACTGGGATTTACTTGCAGACCAGAAAGTTTTATAAAACGAGCTAGAATCTCAATCAATCGTTGGAAACCAAAGTTAGAACCATCAGAGAAAACTAGTAGATCATCAACAAAGCATAGGTGAGTTAAACCAATCCTCTTACACATTGGGTGGTAGCGGAAATACCCCTTCTGTGCCTCTTTATCGAGTATACATGAAAAAATATCCATGGCAATGACAAACAGATACGGGGAGAGTGGACATCCTTGTCTAAAACCTTTGCAAGCAGGGAAATACCCCACTAACCCTCCATTAAGCCCCACACTTCGCATAGGTGTGCTCACACACATCCTAATCCAACTTATGAAATGTTCAGGGAACCCATGTGCTTTAAAACTTTAAAAATGAAAAGCCAATCAACAGAGTCGAAGGCTTTCATTAAATCAATTTTAAGCACACAACGAGGAGAGACATTTTTCTGGGCATACTTATGAACAAGCTCATGTGCAAGCAGAATGTTATCCTCAATTGATCTTCCTTTAATGAATGCAGTTTGATTAAGACTGATTAGGTGGGGTAACTGAACTCGAAGTCTATTTGCAATGATCTTAGCAATGACCTTGTAAATAGTGTTACAACAGGAGATTGGTCTAAAAACCTCATTTCATCAGGATTCTGGATCTTAGGCACTAGAGTTAAAATAGTAGCATTCACTTCCCTAGGCATCCTACTTTCAGAAAAGCAAGTTTGGATAGCAAGAGTTACCTCTGCCCCAATCACTGGCCAAGCATGTTGGAAAAAAGCTGCAGAATATCCATCAGGGCCTGGACTTTTGTCCCCATTCATAGCAAACACAACTTCTTTGACCTCCTCCTCCGTAATAGAAGCACAGAGACCATCATCACTAGAAATAGTCTTCCTTATGAGTTCAGTATAGAACTCTTCGGATTCATCAATCACCTCAGGATCTTTCCTGCCCAGCAAACGTTTGTAAAAACTTTCAGCAATATCTCCCATTCTATGCAGGTCTGTGACCTTATTCCCCTCTTCATCCTTCAGCATAGTAATCATATTCCTCATTTGCCTCGTTTTCAGAGATCTATGAAAATAGGGAGTATTTGAATCACCCCCTTTAAGCCAAAGATCCCTTGACTTGTGTCTTAAGAACGATTCCTCCGCCTAAAGCAGCTCATATAACTCCCTAGAAACAGTGGATTCCCTTGAGAGAGCTTCACGGTGAATTTGTTCAAGTTCAGCCTCTTTAACCTTAACCCTCTCCCTTATTTCATAGAATTCCTCACGGTTCAATTTCTTCAAAAGCTTCTTAAGAATTCGCAACTTCTTATAAACCTTAATCATTGGTGGCCCTGATACCCTGCTCTCCCACGCCTTCCTTAGTAACTCATCAAACTTCGGGTGTCTGGTCCAGAAACGGAAGAACTTAAATGGCTTTGGCAGAGATTGCTTTGCAGCCTCAATATCAACCAAACTTGGACAGTGATCTGAAACCCCTGGCTTCTGAAAATGGACTGAGTTCCCCATAAGCTTATCCAACCAGTCAAAATTGACCAATACTCGATCTAGATTTTTCGCAATAGGACGAGCATCTTGCTTGTTTAGCCAAGTAAACCACGAACCCGTAGCTTGATGGTCTTCTATTTCTAACTCCAGAACTCAACTTTCAAAATCCTTCATACTTGTACTATAATGTGTAACATTTGAGGCTTCAGCTGGACTTCTGATCACATTAAAGTCTCCAGAAATCATCCAAGGAATTTCCAGGACTCTAATATTCCTCAAATCTTCAAACAGCTTCCTTCTATCCTTCTCCTCATTCGAAGCATACACAAAAGTTGCAAAGAAAGGCACAACATCGTTAACTAGAACATGAAAAAACTGATCAATAGAGTGCAAGATTCTGAGAGATATATCCTTCCTCCAAGTCAGCCAAATCCTCCCCAAACCAGCCAAGTTATAAGTAATATCATTTTCCCAGTCCTGAAACCTCTTATTCACTAGCTTTTTCTCTTCTTTTCATCAAATTCTTGGCTCAAGTATAGCTACTATACTAATATTATACTTATTTATCTTTCTATGTAAATCTAAATACTTACTATCAGCTACAAAACCTCTAGTATTCCAGGTAAGTATCTTCACATTCATTCGTTTCTTACCCTTTCCACCCTTACCCCTTTTCTTACCACTTGAAATGTCTCATAGGAGTCTTCTACCCAAATTTTCTTTCCTTTATCAACCTGTGGAGTCTGCACATCTTTGCTAGTAGTAGACTTCCCACTCTTTGTCCCTCCCTGAGCCGACTTAATCTTAGAGCTCCCATCTTTAGACGATGATGACTCATTTGATTTAGCCAACTGTTCAGCTGTCACAGAGCTCCCATCAATTGGTGACCCTCTGACTACCTGAGCAAAACTCAGTGGAGGGCTCCCTATTTGATTAGGATTAGAGTGAATCATATCTTGACCAATATCCTCCTCAGCTACTTGATTGGTATTAGAGTGAATAACATCTTGACCCATATCCACCTCAGCTACAGTCTGCATCTCATCAGTTAACGCATCACAAAACACCTCCTCTGAGAGAGGTTGATCCTGAATCACACCATCTTCAACTACTGAGGGTTTCTTAGGAATCCACACTCGTTTTGGACCCGAAACCACATCACAATTATGACCTAATATACCACACTTCACACACACAGTTGGCAAATTGCTATACTCAACTTCCACTTCAAAGCTCGGATCATCATCTGGATAAAATTTGATTTTGGAAGGGAAACCAAAATCAGCCTTCAATTCAATACAAGCACGAGAAAAACCTAGCTGACCACCCACTCTAGTTTTCTGATCCATCCATAAAGGCTTACCCATTGTGCTCGTCACCCATTCCAAACCTTCCTGTGCCACATACTCCAAAGGCAGTCCCCATATCTTGACCCAAATCGGAAGAGTTTCTACTTGCGGAGACAAAGGTTGAATTCTCGAGTGCCATTTCCTAAAGAAAATAGGGTTACCCTGATGATGCCATGGCCTCGATTGAAACACCGAATTACACAAAGCCGCAAAGGGAAATTGGAACACGATTAGCTTCGGCCCAAACTTAGATACTCGCACCAGACCATCTCTCCCCCATAACCTATTCGCCCATGTCTGAAGAGCAGGAATCTTTGGTTGACTACCAACGAATTGGCCAATCAACGAATCCTTCCAACGCTCCACGCCCTTCTTTTTCACCTCCTTCGGAAGACGATACCCATCCTTCACTTTCTCTGGAGGATGAAACTTAAGACGATTCTCAGGTGCAACCTCAAACTGCTGCGCCCAAGTGATGCCCTCGCCAATCGGCGATGAGCCCGACGGCGAGGCTGCCATCCTACGACGACCGAAAACCCTAGATCTTCAGAGAAAAAGAAGAGACAGAGAGAGAAAAGAAGAGAGAGAGAGAATCCAATCTCTCTTAATTTTCATTTGTTTGAGTAAATATTATTTTTTGGATTTTGTTACTCAGATTTGTAAGTTACCGTAATTTGTAAGTTACTCTAAGAGATAGTAGCAGTCCATACACTGATAAGGGATATATTGATTCTCGATAAGAAATGAGTCATGGTGGTTCCTCCCGGACTGTCTGGAATACACTCGAGGGGCTCATGTCTATTTAGCTAGTTGGTGAGGTAATAGCTACCAATACGATGATCAGGTAGCAAGAAGGTGAAGTGAATCAAAGGCATCGACTGGGAGGGAATAAAATGCACACTCAATCGCTAGTAGTAGGAATGGAATTATAAGAATGAAAAAAAAAACAACCCAAGTATTGAGTTTCAAAATATAGTAGAAGCCTAGATAAGGAATCTTGTTCTCTTGACAAACTTGAAAAGGAAAGAAAGAAAAACAACGAACTGGAGTGGGAGGGTCAAAGTCGAAAAATAGGATTCCTTACTTTTTTCTCTCATTCAAAATCGGGCATGAGACTCACAAATCTTAAAATGGTCTAACGGATGATACAATTACATCATTACAAAGGAAATAATGGTCGACTAGGAAAACAAAATGATCGACTGGTTGGTCATTACCTTATTAATGTTGAAACAACATTCCACCGCTAGAAAGGTTTCAATACGAAATAATGACTTTTCTATCATTTAACCCAAGCTAACAACAACATAAAGATCTATAAATAATAATCTAAATTGTTATTTTTCGCTCTAAAAATCGGTAAACAAGTTCTCTTGGCTTTAAGCTCGACCACATCGGCTATATGGTCAACTTTTCAAGTGCAATCACAATATTCATTATCTTTAGAGCACTCTCCGTGATGTTGGCGGGAGGTATGAAGACATCTTTAACCCTAGTCGATCAACCTATACATTTTGCGGTCGACTAATTATTTATGATATCGACCTTTTCATTATAAAATAGACCGCAATATATAAGCGATCCACCGTTCTTTCCATTGCTTGTACACTAAGGAATGTGTCGATGGTGATTTTCATTCCAATTCCTTAATGTTCTAATGTGGTTTGTTTTTCAACAACAGCCATCTATGTTAAGTAATTTTTTGTACTATAAAAGATCTTCCCTACAAACAAATAACTAAACATGTGTTAGGGTTAGTGTGGTTTTCTAATTACTTTTTTTTTTGGCAATAGATCTCATGATTAATGAGGAAAAACAAAGATCTAAAGTTTGTACAATAACCAATAGAAAACCTATACACCGAATAACCAAATAACTTAGTCGAACTAAAAAATACGAGGCGACAATAACAGAGCCTATAACAAGTAGGCAGTTATAATTGAACAGTGGGCCGGGCTACCTTCGGTTGGATGAGCATGAGCACGACCAAGAGGAGCCCAATTAATAGAGCCCATGAACTTTCCACTTCTATTTCGATATGCTCTTATTCCCTCTTCCCCACTTCCCACGTTTTCCGATCTACAGTTGTTCTTCGTCTGCAACCAAACGAAGAGGAACCGCCATGGCGGCAAAGCTTCTGAGCAGACTTCGGCAGCTCGACACTCGTCTAATCTCACTGCAACATCAGCGCCCGTTCTTCCGCAATGCCCGGCTCTTTTCCGGCCAGCAAATTCCATCTTCTGATTCTCACCCTTCTCTGCCTCCAACTCCCACACCGACACCGCTCCCTCCGCCGAGTGCCGGTAGTGCCGGCGAGAAGCGCCAGAGGACGTCTTCTCTCAAGGACCACGAGCTGGCTAAATTCGCCGCCATTTCTGATACCTGGTATGTCTCGCCGAAATTGCTTCTCTAAGCAATCGAGTAAACGATCAAACAAGCGTTCATTGTTGATATTTGCCCCTTCGCTAGCTTAGCTAACATTCTTTGAGGCCGCATCTCGCACTGGTCGATTTTTTGCTTGTGAATTTTGCAGGTGGGATTCTGAAGGGCCGTTTAAGCCACTGCATGCGATGAATCCTACCAGACTTGCTTTCATTAGATCCACTCTCTGTCGACATTTCAGGTTTGCTCAAAGAATTTAGGCTGCTTCTTTCTTGCTCAGTTCTTTTTTAGCATTTCGCTTCTGATAACTTTTGCTTTGTTCAGCAAGGACCCTAATGTGCCCAAACCATTTGATGGATTGGAAATTGTTGATGTTGGTTGTGGCGGTGGGATTCTTTCCGAGGTACACATGTACTTCACCATTCCGTAATTTGCCTTTTGTCTCCCATATATCACTGATATGCTTGCTTAGAGAGTGCAAGCGTCGGGAATGAGTAAAAAATGGGCTGGGTTTGGCCATGAGTTCTGTCTGTGTGTGCCTACTCTAGGGTACTCAATCTGTTGTGCAACCTTCCAACTGCTAATATTCCTGGTAGTATGCTAGAGGCTGAAGAGAGATCTCGACATCTTTGTTGGTAACATGGTTGTTATTTCTTTAATCTCATCAGCCTTTGGCACGATTGGGAGCAACTGTGACGGGAGTTGATGCAGTGGAGAAGAATATCAAGATCGCACACCTTCATGCTGTATGATTTCTTCTACTGAAATGATTGAATGTTCGATTTTTGAAGCTTATATTTTCGGGGGTGAAAGTTGAAGCTATTCTTGTAGCACTAGCGCCTGATTGTTGCATTTCATTTGAGACCATTGTCTGTGAGTTCAGTCTAACATTTACTATGCTCTGGATGATCTGAATTTGTGTTTTCACCTTTGTATTCCATGCCGTTGTTTTCTCGTATGTGGACAATGTTAATTTTAGTTGTGCCCTGGTCTGTTGGAAGCTTTGCCTGTTTGTTTGCCACCATCCCGTTTTTGTTTGTTAATAATTTAGTATCTTTGCTAAAATTTTGAGTTGGAAATGTAGTGAAACTTCTCCATGTCTCAGGATTTGGATCCTACAACATCTACCATCGATTATGTTTGCACAACTGCAGGTGTGTACCAACATCTACCATCGGTTATGTCTTGCTTGTGTCAAAGTCTTCTGTGCTGATCTAGTACTTAGATAATAAGAATTTCTTGACCTTGAAGGGTAGACAGTGATTTCCTTTTCTGGGTGACATTTGAGTCTCAAAATGTTCTAAGAGTGGGCTAATGCAATATGAAACTGAGATGCTTGGAAGCTCTATGCTGCTAGCCACTTATATTTAAGGCAGTAACCTTACACAGCTGCTATTGCATTGCAGAAAAACTAGTTGAGGAGGGAAGGCAATTTGATGCTGTGATGTCACTGGAGGTATTCATAATCAATATTTCTGTGCTCAAAATTTCTGATTCTAGACTGCAGCATTATTTTTCCTTTAGATCTATCCATTTGGTTGCAACTTCCATTCACTTCTCTTTATTTGATAAACCCTATGAAGGTAATTGAGCACGTAGCTGATCCTGCAGAGTTCTGCAAGTCTTTAGCAGCATTAACTCGCCCAGGTGGAGCCGTGGTGATCTCAACGATCAACAGATCTATCAGAGCATATGCAGCTGCTATAGTTGCTGCTGAATACATTCTCCATTGGGTACTTTTCCCCGTTAACTTTATAACTTGAACTGTTAAGTTCCTTCTAAAGGAGTCGATGAGCTCTTTTGTTCTCTAAAAACATGCAAGGTTTGTGTGAATTTTAACCTGTAACCCTTGTTGTGCATGCATAGCTTCCTCGTGGCACGCACCAGTGGTCTAGTTTCCTCACTCCTGAAGAGCTGGTCATGATCCTAAAACGGTCTTCTATAGATGTAAGCTGTTTCACTCTTCTCTGGTACCCCATTATGAAGTATTGCATTGGATATCTGATTCGTTTACGCTTTTAATATATCTGGATCTTCCTTTTCGTAACATGGTGTTTTTACAGGTTGAAGAAATGGCTGGTTTTGTGTTGAACCCTTTAACCGGGAAGTGGCTTCTATCTGACGATGTTAGTGTGAATTTTATCGCCTTCGCCACAAAGAAGGCAGAAGGCTGAGCTCGTCTCATCGCAGTCAATCGTAGTACAACGGAAGAACGTAAGGGTACTCTTAGAGCAGCATACACAAACGAAACAGCAGAAGATCTATCATTGTCACTGATTACAAGGGACCAAGTTCAGTGGCCTACATTTCAGTGAATTGCTTGTTTAGTTCTCCATGTGACTTATGGCAGAAAAAAAGTAAATTTCTTCTTGTAATATCATTAGCTTTGACCACATGTAAAGCAGCCTTCTCTTCACAAAGAGATGAAGTCTTCATCTCATCACCTCTGGTAGTACGTTTGCCCTGATTGTTGGCTCAAGGGAAACAAGAAAAAGGCTGGACCAACTTATCTATAGGTACTGATTAGCAACTTGAGCATGACTGTTTATAGGACCACAAAGAAAAGGTTCAACCAATTCATAATGATTCCCAAGTACCAACTTGTGGTATTACTCTCATTGATAATCATAGACAGTCCTAATGCCAGACAGCATGGTGTACTATCCTTGGCCCTATCCTCACTGAAGTTGAAGTGAAACATTATTCAGAAACTCTAGATTTAGTACATAAATATGACCACCATGTTCGGTTTCGATTCGATCATGGATCCTCATCTGTGCATACTGATCCTTCCACACGGCCCTGATGTAGCTCTACTTGGCTCGTTTCGATGTCCAAATCGAAGCCTTCTCGAGGAAGAGCAATGTGAGAGCGGATTGGTTGTAGCTCTTTTTTGGTCCATTGGAATACAGCTGATCTTCAGTGTCCAGAAAAAGATAGCAGATCATCATCTACACTGTTTATTCACATGTGTCCATTTATGATCCATTGAAGATCATCAGAAGTCAGATCTCTATACCCGACAATATAATGACATCAAAGAAGGAATTGAATTGGGAAGGAACAAAAGGAGGAAATGGAGGAGAAAACAGCTTTTAGAAGTTGACATGGTCACCAAATAGAGAGAGAAGAGGATCATATCATAGTCCCCCCAATCATATCATGAGTTAACTTGTCGGGTCTTTTCTCTAATGATGAGAGAATTTCTGATAACGAACTCTGTATGAAATTTCAAACAAACTACACTATCAGACCAACTGGCTCCAGTAGAGTATATACCCATAAAGAGCAGCAGCTGTAATGAATGAAACCAGACACCCATCCCCAACCTAGCAACTTGTTATTTGTGAGCAGGATATTTGCCACGTTGTCCCAACTTTTTTGTCCATAAAACATAAACAAGAGGATGGAAAGTTGGAAACCATCACCTGGACAGGCAGCCAGCCGATAATCTGCTACTAGGATGGCAAGCAAACACGCGATCGCGAGTATCTGATCGCTTTTGACTCAGTCAATGCGAAAATTCTCGTATTGAATGGGTATGAGGCTGGTACGAACATATATTTATATAGAGTGCGATGATAATTGCACTTTCACTATTTCTCAATCATAGAGTTTTGCTCTTCCAAAATCTCAGCTAATACGTGGTATTTTATAATCCATTGATTTCAAAGTTTTTGATACGAATATATATGGAGTTTGTCTATAATCTCATGGGTGTGGGATTTCAAGCAAAAATCCTTGACCAAAATCCTAAGAGGAAATGACCCCCTTAATACTTGCCTAGGGGGTCAAAGAGAGATGATATTATCACAAAAGGGTGTGTATCGATTTGATTCGCATCATATCATAATGAACCGTATTGATGTTTGGAACGGATCATATTGAATCGACTATAATCTCATATCCTTCTTTACGAGAGTTGTGATCTGTCTTTTACTGATCACTATCATCTTTCCGCTCCCTCCTTTTGGCTGCTTAGAGCTAGATTGTCTAATACAACCATTATCTTATATCATGGAAACTTCTCTCTTCAGATGTCCCATACAAAGCTCCAACCAGATCTAAACCATGAGAATGAGATCCTTTCCTCTGAAATCAATTCAAGTATATTCTTACACATCCCATGTAATTAATTAGTAGCGGGTCTTTTTCCCCATATCTGGTCCTCCAAATCTTCAGAGACTTTTGGTTCAATTTCTTGCTCTCGACAGACACCATTGGACCAAAAAAAAAAAAAAAAAAGAAGGGATATAGCAGATCAGTATCCTCTAGATTCCTCCAAAGTTCTGATTATCCTTCATTTCCAAGCTAAGTAAGATACTCATGTAACCAATGACTATGAATCTCTGCTCATCAGTTATTCTCCCAGTCAAATGAAAGATACTTAATTATACGTCAGTAGTTTTTCTGCTTCAAGATACGGTCTGTCCCTCGAAGTTGGGACCTCGATCTGCAGAAGTTTAAGGCTGGATCCGTTGTCTTAACCCGATTCTGGTAGCCAATCCTCGACATAATCATGTAATCTAATACGAATATGTGACACGACTTCTTACTATATGTCCTCAAACAAAACCGGAGGAGTAATTTGATATATAGTAAATAATAAAATATCTATAATTGAACATCTCAAGTTTCGAGCCATCTCAAGTTCCAATAACTCGAGTTATAGAATTCATCGCGCAGGACATAACAGAACAAGCTAAGTATGGCCATTACCGGCTATGTATGTACGTATCAAATAAAGAATCATCAATAAGTAACTCTTCTTTTCGGCGTGCCTCGGTCCATTTTGCACCTCTTAGATTTAATAGGGTTGTCATTATCATGGCAAAATAATCATTTTATATTGTTGGATTTGTCATTTGTCAACGAGAGTTTTTGTTCTTCTTCCCATTTTATGACCTGGTCACCTGCAAATGTCTTGTATATTTCTTGTACCTATGATGCTTCTCTTTTAGGGATAACTACGGAAAAAAACTCGAGTTATTGCAATCAAAATGTTATTATATGGTATTTGAGCTTTCGATGATTGAGAGGTCTTGTGTTCGTATACCGTCGACCCCATTTTGTTAAATGCATAATATATTAAGGGCTTTTTAAACTTCAAGTACGTATAAATTCACTTTTGTTTGAGTGACGTGTTTATATATAGTATAACATTTATAATTAAATGTTGGGGGAATAGGAAATAGGGCCCAAGTAAGGGGCCAGGGTGTTGCCCTGGGCTGGGAGTGTGGGCCTGGCCAAGGGGGGAGACCCGGCCCAAGAAAGGCCTAGAGGTCAAGGCCCAAGCAGGGGGAACTGGGTCTAGGGTAGGGCGCATGACGACAAAAGGGGGGCAACGGTCAGAAGCGTACGGAAGAGACAGGGGGTGGGGCCATGCGCCTTGTGTGGGCAGATTTGTGTCAGAATGTCGAGGCGCCCAGAGAGAGAAGGGGGCAGTGCATTTAATGAGGTGATGACGTAGGGCGGATTTGGGGGGCACTGGTCGACCCTACCCTGAGTATAAATAGTGAAGTGGGTGGAGCTCATTTACTCAGGTTCTAACTTCTCTCTACAACTTTTATCTTACTTCTCTCTCTAGAATTTGTTATAACTTGGGCGTCGGAGTGCTTACGAGCCCTTTCAAAGGGGTTCAGTGCGCGCAGTTGTGTGTAGGGGGCGAGCGTGTGACCCAGGCGTGGAGGAAGCTATTGGGGATCGAGGAACTGACAGGACGTGAGTCGGGAGGCGCCCGGAGACTACGGAGGGCGGAAGGTTACGTGGCACAAACATTAAACATCTGTCAACAACTCGAGTTATTGATACCAATAATTAGTCACACCCCAAATGAAATAGAAGGGTAATTAAATGATTTGGAGAGAAGTTGGTGTGTGGCCTCTCTACCTATATTATAAGTTGGTGTATCTCTATTAGATATGAGATGTCTAGCTAGTCGATATGCCGATATAATTAAGCGTCGAGACAGAGAAGAGGTGGGAGAGATTAATCGCCACGGTACACTGCCATAATTAACTACAAATTAAAACAATTAAGCAAGCAGCTGGGTTGCTTTGACTCGATCGATTGGTTTATGTTAATGATTTTTTGTCGTTAATTAATTTATGTCAATGATTTCGTTATCAAGGCTTGGCTCTATATATGCTTCCAGAAACCGATTTGTAGAGATTATTGTTTTTGGGTTAGCGTAAACTATGGTTAATGGATGGGATTCAGCAAGTTGTAAGATCGGCGCAGCAAAAGTATTCCCTTCCACAGTTCACAATGTTTATTAGCCAGTTATTAGCAAGATCTTCCTAATTTTTATGAATATTAATTAACATGATGTTGATTTTTTATGAAGCTTAATATAATATATTGATCATATGCAAAGATATATAGCGAAACGAATCCAAGAGATGTCTAGAATATCAAGGGTGTAGTCAGAATTTGGAAATGGAGATCAAAATATTGTTTTGGTATTTGTTGCAGAAAAAGAGCAAGACAATAATTATATCATAATCAAATAAAAAGGGTGAAAAGATAGAAACCCGGCCTGGTACTGGTTCAAAATCAATGAAAATAAAATTCGGTAACCTTGTGAGTAAATTAAACCTGTAAACATTGATAAATTGATTCTCATTAGTTGTACATTGTCTAGTGCGAGTTGATTTGGTTACGAGCCACCAACACGTTATTGTATAAATTATTTATTTGTTCAAAAATTTGACGTTGTCGCTCTCATTATCTTGACCATTTGTTTTCACATTAGAAAGTGTCATTCTCTAAGCAGATTCAAACAAAAACAAAAAAACATTCGATATCAAACCCTTCTCTCGACGGATACCCACGAATAACTTCTTGAAAATGATCCAAACAAAGACCTAATAGGGTTGATTGATCACTACATCAAACCACCCAAATTCATCATGTGCTCATAAACATACGAGAGAGGGTGAGAAACCAGAAAACTTTCTTGTAGCATGTGAACAAAAAACAGCTGCATGATTTAGAGGACTGACTACCCATTATTAACAGTCCACATGACCCCTAAATCACTCATTGAAACTCTACTTAAGATTATAATGTTCCTTTTTTTCAATTTGATCAATAATATTTCAAAATTAATTATCCAGCATCCAAGCATAGTATAATAAGCTCACGTTGAGGTGAAATAGATAGATACACATGGTTAATGTTATATTATAGTTGGGAGTGGACCAGCTCCAATATTCCCGGTGCTGTGATAGGCCGACAGTCGGACAAACCTTGTTAACACACCAGACACTCCTCAATTATATTTCTCTGCCAAACAGCTTTCCTATTAATTAAGACTTATAAACTATCAAATCATAAGCATCAATGCCTATGCTAATTGGCTTCATGTTTCTTTATAAAGGTAAAATATAATTAATCAATCGTATGCATAGAAGAAGAAGAAGAAAAAAAATACATGTATTCACTCGACAAACGGGCGGAAAAAAGAAGTGTTAATAATTAATGTAATGTAATGACCGTGTGCAAGAAGGACCCAGAAATGGAAACAGATGAGAAAGGCAGAAAAATGGCTGGTTTTGGGGCTCTCTTCTCTTCTTGGGGCTCTAAATTTGTGCACCCTTCGTGTCCTGCCCAAGACTGTTGACTTTGTTCATCTGTCTGCTCCATTTTCAATTCGAAGGGCCATCGATC